GCAGCCCTGAGAGCTTCTCTAGCAAGTATCAAATTTCAAGCAGCTGTTGGACCTAAAATTGCTTTCCAGGGCAGTTTCTCTCTCTGGCTCTAGAAGACAATTGGGCTCAACATTTCCCCAGAGTCTTGGCTGTGGCTTTGTTGTGGGCCGGGTGGTTGCGGAGACAATGCAGACCCCCAAGTCCTTAGCATCCCTTTGCAGATCAGGGTGTGGGACTTGGGCTAGCAGAATCCATATGAGCTGGGAGCTTGTTAGAAATGCAGAACTGGCCGGGTGTGGTGGCTCATGCCTGTAATCCCAGCACTTTGGGAGACCCAGACAGGAGGATTGCTTGAGCCCAGGAGTTGGAGACCAGTCTGGGCAGCATGGTAAGACCCTATTTCTACAAAAAATAAATAAATTAGCTGGGCATGGTGGGACGCACCTGTAGTCCCAGTCACTTGGGAGGCTGAGGTGGAGATTGAGTGTTAAGCCTGAGAGATCAAGGCTGCAGTGAGCAGTGATTGTGCCACTGCTCTCCAGTCTTGGCAACAGAGATCCAAGAAAGAAAGAGAGAAAGAGAGAGAGAGAAAACGCAGAGTCTCAGGCTCCACCCCAGGCTACCTAATGGGCATCTGCACTTTAACAAGATCCCCAGGTGGTTCCTGTACACACTGAAATCTGCAACGTCCTGGAGCTGCCAAGAGCCTGGGCTGGGAGTCCTGAGCTCCACCTGGCTGTGTTAATGTCAGCTGGCAAAACAGCATAAGGCACATCCAGGACTCAGTGAGGCAGGTTCCTGAGCCTCTCTTAGGCTAAGTTTGAAGTTGTTCCATCACCACCTCACTCTGCCTTCTTTGCCATTTCCATCCATGATGGCACTATCCTAACTAGCGACCAGAAGCAGTCTTTAGAATTCCTCTTCTCTCCTATCCCTCATGGCTAATGCCTGTGCTGAGTCTTCTGCCTCTGGCTCTTTCCTTCTGTGCACCCTGATTTTTCCCCTCTCTTGTGCCGAGCTGGAGGGTAGGACACTCTGTTGCCACACTGGGTCATTCTCAGGATACGTTCTAGGTGTATCTGGACGAACAGATCACTTCCAGCTTGATTCATGCACAGCGTCTCTTGTTCAATAGCAAGATTTGCCCAAAATCAGAGCTTCAATCCTATATAAATGGAACAGATAATCATTTACAGAACTCCAGGGAATCTGCCCACCCTGGGTAAGTTTACCAGACAGTTTCAGAATTTTGGAATTGAATGTAAGAATTATGAAAGGAGCCTCTACAACACGTGGAGATGATAGACTAAAGGATTATGAACTTGGCAGTGGAGGTAAAGGATGGTGTAGCATAGCGGTTGGGGACACAGGGGTGTTTCTAGATGCCTGGCAGCAGCCCGTTTCTTGTTCAGGTGGTAGGGCAGCTGTGCATCTATGCTTTATGTTCTTTTCAATGTTTGTTATCTCACAGTAGAAGAGGTTTAAAAGACTATTTTGTGAGAGATCAAGTTTTAAGTGCTTTTTGCCCCCATCATTGACTTGGTTTGGTTAGAACAAATATGTGATAATTCTATTTCCTTGCTTTTCTTTCCTTCCCTTCTCTCTCTCCCTCTCTCTTGTTCTCCCTCCGTCCCTCTTTCTTCTTATAGGAATGGAAAACAAACTCTATTCCTATAAGGTTTTCTATTTCTCCTTTTTTTCTGAAAGAATCCTTGTATAATGAACGGCCTCTACTGAGCCTTACTGTGTGTCAGGTGATGTGCTTAACTTAACATTCATTGCAGCGTGTCATCACCACAAAGGCCTCATGAGGCTGGTGCTATTTTTTTTTTTTTCCCATTTTACAGACAAGGTTTAGAGAGATGGAATCAACTACTTAGACCCACAAACCCAGTAAGTGTTGGAATCCGGATTGATGCTGTAATGACCATTATCCAGATCCCTATCACCGTTTGGGGATATTGTCTGAAAATTCCTCTGGGTATTTAGAGTCAAGCTTTCATCTGGGTCTTCAGGAAGTTGCAGTGGAGCCATCTGAACTCCCCGACACACCTGAAGACATTTCAGGACTAACCTGGATGAAAGGGGAACTGACTTTAACTAGGACAGGACATAAGGAGATAATCATAAAATTAATTCACTTTCCTCCTTTTGAAAACGTTTCTAAAGTGTGTATCCTCCCAGATATCGCCTGGCAACGGAGACCCCATTGAGGCCTTGGTTTGGAGAAACTGAACCATGTGGGGCAGCCTATTGAAGGTGGTCTGGGGACAAGACAATATGTTGGTTGCTGACTGTGGTGTAATTCCAGCTACTGGGGAGGTGGGAAGATTGCTTGAACCTGGGAGTGTGAGGCCAGCCTGGGCAACATGGCAAGGCCCCATTGCTTTAAAAAAAAAAAAAATACATGTGTGATGGGCTTTTCTTTTGCCTTTCAGTCTCCTCTCGGCAAAGTGAAAGAAGCGGTGAAGGTGGCCATTGATGCAGGGTATCGCCACATTGACTGTGCCTATGTCTATCAGAATGAACATGAGGTGGGGGAAGCCATCCAAGAGAAGATCCAAGAGC